TTTTTCACTACAAAATACATTTGACATTTTTTACTTGCATTTTTTCACACTTCGAAATTATGACTACTCTTATGCGCTTAAAATCGTAAAAGTTCACTAAAAAAGTAATGCTAAATATGTACTAATATTGAGTTAAGCGGCATAACGTTGATGAAGTATATGAAAAGGTGTGACTTATAAAGAAATAAAAGTTTCATTCAAAAACTTCAATATTGGAAATTAAGTTTCATTTTTCATTCTCAAATTTTAAATTTTAGCCCTTTTCACATTTAATCAAACGTTATGTAATTATAAATACATAATATATGCATTTCGTATGTACTCAAGCAGTGGTAAATAGCAAAATAGTAGTAAATTTATAGTAAATCGTAAAATGTAATTACAATTATAATTATACACATACATATATATATAATAGTATGTAGTTTTGTATTTAAAGTGGTAGTGTTTAAGCGTTGGTCTAAGCATAAATGTACAATCAAAGTTTTGTTTTTGTGTTTGTTTTCTTTTTGCAATAAAAAGAGGGGTTTTCTTAAAAAGTCTATGCAACATTTGAGATATTGAAACACACACATATTTAATTTAGGTTATTTTCGAATGAGTAAAAAATAATTTGAAAACTAGAAGTCATGTTTTAATACTTATAATTATTTAAAACGAAAAGTAAAAATAAATTAAAAAAAAATAATAAAATAAAAAAAATTTAAAAAATTCTAAAACTGTGCATTACATAATTTTTTTTGAAAGCTAAATGTATAAAATTAAAATATAATAATATTATTTAATTGAAATCAGTCCATCAGGCTTAATTTGTAATTACAATAATTAATTTTCAAATTAATTATAATTTTTCTTTTAAATATTTCACTTATACAATGTGCATGTATTGTAAGTAATTCTTTATAAAAATATATATATTAATGTATATATGTATGTACGTTATGTATATATGCAACTAAATATATATATACATGTGAATGCCGCTACAATTACATAAATACACATTCACTGCATATACATGCATGTATGTATGTGTGTTAAGCAAAATTAGTAGTTTCAAAAAATTTATTTAGCGCAGCGCAAATTGCTATTGGGCGTTAAAAGAATATTTGAAATGATATATTCTCCGCGCTTAATTTGCCTTATAATTCTATTAGCACACTTTTTGTTGTATTAGAGGTTTCAAAAAAAAATAATAAAAACAACAAAATTTGTATGCATGTGCAGTTAGATTTTCTACTAAGAGTAAATTTTTGAACTCTAATATAATTTTTGAATTTGTTATATAAATTTTGAATTTTTTTTTTTATAATTTTTTAATAATTTTAGCATTTTTTCGTTACATATTTAGCGCAGCTGCACATACCTTCACATGACATAATATAGCTCGTAAGATATGTGCTTGTATGTATAGTTAAATATATGCAGTGTGCTGTGTTTAATTTTTACAATTTCATATTTATTAGTATAATTTTTTTTTACAATTTGTTGAGCACAAAGAATTAGATTTTTATAAGCATTTTTTCGGCAGCATAATTTACAATTGGAAAATGTTAAAGTAGAATTTAGCTTTTTCGTTTGGCTAGTAAGTGGCAAAGTATTTAAATTTATTTAGTTTTTTATTTCCAAAATTATTTTGTTCTAATGGTTTTGTAGTAAGCATTCAATTGGTAATTAGAATTAAAAGAAATAGTAAAAAGTAGTAATTTTGTTAGTAGAAATAAAAAAAAAATTTTTTTTTTTTGAGTTTTGAATTTTTTTTTTTGTTTTTATAATATGTGGCAATACGATGGCGTTTTGCACGAAAATAATAAAAAATATTAGCAATAAATTTTAACTATTTAAGGATATACAGACGGTTTCCATTCAATTCACAGATTCATTGTGTATGTTGAGTAAATGAGTTGAATAAAAAAAGAGCGCTTTTATCAAAAAAGGAATATATATATATATTTATATATATAAAATTAAATAAAATGTCAATATGTCAGAGTATATTCTAGAAATAAAATAGTTAAGCTGCTTAATAATTTGTAGGTAAAATATGATGAGCCACATCGGCAGATGATTGGCCGAATAACGCCAAAGCGATAATAAACCGTCAATAATTAATTTAATATTTTTTAAGTAGAGTTCACAAGAATAAGTTTATGATAAACTACACATTTATGAAATAATTGTTTTTTTTTTTTACATTAAGACAGTGGCTTAAAATTTTTATTTTTTTAATTAAAGCTTTACATTTATATTAAATTTTTTTAATAATCGTTTTAGTATTTTAGGAGAAAAAAATTATTTCAATTTTTTTATTAAAAAGCTAACGCTCTACGGAATATATAAAAATGAAAAAAAAAAAAAATTAAAATGCTCAGTTGTATGTTACTTCACTAGCGATCGAATTCCAAGCAGAAAATTGGTATGTGAAATGAATTGTTAAGAAAACCATATATGTATGTACATATGTCTGTATATCTTTGTTCAACTGTGAATGAAATTTATTTGGCATAAATTCCTAAACTTCGTAGAAAAATTAATAAAGAATTATTTCTTTATTACTGCGCTTTCCCTTTGATTATTCCATTTATTTCTCTATTCAAAGTAAAAAAGAAAAACTTTTTGTATTTTAAAATATTGGAGATTTATAAATTTGTATGAGCTCTCCTCTGGCAGTGCTTAAAAGAAGTTTTGGAATTTTTGTGAATAATAATAATTTTTTTTTCGATACACTGCTATTTTTCACTGTAATATTTCGAAATTATTTTTCGGTTCAAAGCAATCTAAGCGAATTTATAGGAGGTGAAGTTCAAGGCAAATTCACACACGGTAGCAGCAAGTATACAAAAACATAAAACCTATGAATTTTGTTTGTGTAATCGTGATTTCGAAACGTCAAAAACGAGATTCGTTCAATGCATATATATTTATTGGTGTGATAGAAAGTTCGTAATGTCAAAACCTATTTCTCAGGTATTTTGTTGGTGTAATTTGTTGAAATGGGTGAAAGAACAAGCAATCGTATGATGTGAGAACTTCACCTTCAATAAATTTGTCTTGGTGAAGTTGTCACATCATATGATTGCTTGTTTTTCCTTCTTTTTCAACAAATTACACAAACAAAATACATAAGAAATAGGCTTCGACATTACAAACGTTCGTTTACACAAACAAAATATATTGAATGATTTTCGTTTTTGACTTTTCGAAACTATGATTACATAAACAAAATACTTGGAATTTTTATTTTTTATTCTTGTTACTATCGTGTGTAAATTTGCCGTGGAAGCTACTTTTCACTTCAGAGTTTTGAAATTGTTTTTAAATTTATTTCATTTAAAAAAAAAAAAATATTTTAAATTAATAAAATATACTTTTAAATAAAAGAGGCGTATATATTGTTAAAATTTTGAAATTTATATGGCAAAAATTAAATTACTCAAAAAGAAATTAAAATTATAAATCATTTAAGGAAATTTGTTAATTACCTACAGATTTTAATAATAAAATATACGAAAAGATATGAAAGACATACAAATATATAACTTTATTTTTTAATAAATAAATATTTTTGTTAAGCAATGGCATTTTTAGTGTTCCTCACAAGCGCCAATTCGTCTTTTAAAGTTAGAAAATAAAACAGATTATTTCGCGCCTAAAAGCAGGCAACGAAAAATTGCAGTTCACAGTAAAAGTATTATTTTATGTCTCAAAATTTTAGCACTACAATTAATTTATGGAATTTAGTTTTCAGATTTTTTGAGCATGAACAAGTAAAATAAAAAAAATAAAAAAAAACTGTTAAATTTAAATTTATTTTTCAACGGAAAAATCCACTGCGGTTTGCTGCTTTTTGTACATTTATTAGTTTGTGAAGTGTAATTGATTTATTTGCATAATAATTTAGTTAATTATTATTTTAATTTATTATTTTATATTGGGAAACCAAAGCCATTGCCACTCAAATTTTTTTTATATTTTTTTAATAGCCTAATTTTACTGTAATTTTTAGATTTATTTTAGGTAACTTATTTTTGAAAATTTTTCCAGCCTGCCAGCAAAATTATGCAAGCCACACACTACTTTTTGATAACTTTTTTCGCACATTTTGATCAAAAAACAAAAAGAGAAGTGCAAAACATATGAGTTAAGCAAGAAAAAATGTTACTACATAGAAATAGATTTAATTGGCTATGTATGTATGTTTTTATAATTTTTTCTGCTGAAACGCTTGCGAAAAAGTGCTTTTTGTTGCCTTAATTTGTGTATTGCATTGCGTAAATTTGTTTTAAAAATGCATGTATGTATTGTATTTATGTATATACAACACGCTCTTTGCCATTTGCTTCACTACTATACAGTTATTTTAGTTTTGTTAATAATTAGTATGTATGTATTTAAAAAAAAAATTACATTTAATTTTACTTGTTTTTTCCTTTTGTTTTGTTTTGTTTTGTTTTTTATGTGTTTGAGGTAAATTTGGCAAACAAATTACATTAATTAATAATATTTAATTAATAATTATTATAAGTAAGTATGTATGTATGCATGTATGCATGTATAAGACGTTATGGTAATTATAGTTCTTTTTGCATTATTATTATTATTATTTTTTAATACAAATGTTATAGTTATTTATTTAATAATATTAATAATAATAATAATAATAATAATAATAATAGTAGTTGTTGTTACATAATAATAATAATACATACATACATGTACACTACTTTTTCTTTTGCATTATTATTGACAATACGAATTATTTACTTGCATTTTGTTTTTTTGCCTACTCATGCATATATGTAAATGTGTAATTGATTTTAATTTTTATATATATTTTTTCACTTATAATTTTGTCACTTGTTGACACACATACATATTCATTTTTGTCAAATAATTGTTTTTGTTGTTGCTTTAAATGTCATGTCTCTTCAAATAATTTTTTTTTTAATTTTTTTGTTAATTCTAAACGTTTTTATGTATGCATGTATGTATGTATTTTCAGGCGTGAATACTTGTTGTAATTTTGCTTAATTTTTGTTTTCTGTTTTTTGCTTTTAGTTTTTCGCTTAGTGCTACATACAACTATACGTTTATATACATACATATATATTTATTTTGCATTTAAATTTCTTTACTCTGTCTCTTTATCTTTCTTCGTAGTACCCACACATTTGCTTTTGTAATTTTTTTACTTCTTCTTTGTTTTTGTAATTACATTTATGCACCTTTTAATCATATATATGATATATAGTTAATATACAGTTAAGAATTTGTTGTTTACATTAAATTAAGAGTTTTTGTAATTTTCTTTCTTTCTTTAATTGCAAAACTTTTTGCTTAATTCTGCTTGTTTTTACATACATATACATATTCCGACATGCACTAAATTTAATTGCTCACAAACATACATACATATGTATATATGTAAGATCATATCATATTTGGGGTCTTCTGTTGCCCTCAACTTGTTTTAACTGTTAAGCTTTTGCTTACGTCCATTACCAATTTAAGGAAATAACGGTTAAACGATGGGCGGCAAAGCTAGCCGTTACTGTTTTTCTGCGTGTCCTCTTGCCTCAGTGAACTGTTTTTTTTTTCAGATAGTTTCCTCTGCAGTCCTTTTACATATATGTATGCAACTATAATTAGCTCCCAACTGTTCCCAATAACAGTTGCTCCCGCATTTTGCCTTCCATTTAAATATTGCAATCGCGCTTTATGCTGTTCTGCATCTTTAATTATGTGCTCGCCATACTCTCTTTCCTTCTTTCCATTCATATACATATGTACGTCTCTTTTCAACGCTTCTCTGACGACTAGTGTTGCTCTCGAAAAAAAAGCTGCTCACTGCCTCTCGCCCACGCCAGGTGTCGCCTTTAAGCAAAAGAGTAACATTTTGCTTGAATTATTTTATTTTATTCTTTTTGTTTTTGTTTTTCTTTTTCGGTGGTGATGGAATGATTACTGTCCGTTTTTTTCGTTTTCTTTTTTTTACGCTTCATACGCCATGCTACATTTGTCATGTTTCCCTACGCTTGGACCATCCATTATCTATTTAATATACATCTGTTTTGCATATTTAATTTTGCATTTGCATTTTCTCATTGCCTTTTCGGCTTAGTTGTTGTTCTCAACTTATTTTTGTTTTTTCATTCTCTTTGTTTTGTTTTTCTTTTTTCAAATTTTTCATTTACTTCTCGCTCTTGAACTTACTTAAAAATTAAAATCGTTGCTTTATACTTAAAAATTAAAGAGTCTATTAACATTATCATTTATCATAATTAATTATTATATTATATTATATTATATTATATTTGTCGCTGTCACTCTCTGGTCTCTGGTCTACGCTCTCTTGTTGCTGCTGCTGCTGTTGTTGTTGCTACTAATTTATACCCGCGCTCGTCTGCAGCTTGCAGCCTGTTGTATGTACTATTTTCTCTGCATTTCTCTAGCATTTCGCTCTCATGAGCGCTCTGCTTTTCCTTCGCTTTTAATTAAATTTAAATGAAAAGAATTTGGTTAAATTGGGTGGTATTGTTGGCTGTTTTGTTGTTGTTGTTGTTGTTGTCTACTATTATTAATTAATTTATTTAGATATTTATTTAGTTGTTTGTATTTGTATTTGTTTTAATTATTATCTACTTTTAGGCGGCTATGGCCTCATTTTGCCGTCATTCCCATTGATGCGGCGATGGCGGCAATTCGGAAGGATGCGCTACCGTTGAACTGTAAAAATGACAGAAAGACGGGGAAAAAAAATTATTTGTAAAATTGTATGAAAATCTTAAAATATTTTTTTTAATCCAATAAAAAAGTTTTGTTGCAGTAAAAAAAAAATAATAATTGAAAAAATTAAGTTAGAAAATTAGCTTAAAATAAAATTACAAACAAAAAAAAATTCATATAAAGATAAGCCAGCAAAGTACAAACTAAACTATAATTACACATAACTAAATAATTAAGTTTAATTATATAACATTATTAATATTTTTCTAATGCGAACGAAAATTTATTTTCACGATTTTAGCTCAAATTTTATATAAAACTTAAAGGAAACATATTCTTTTTTTATAAAATGTTGTATGAATTTATGTACTTTTTGTTTATGACCATCAAACTCGACAAAATAAAGCATATAATACAACTATACAGAGAAACATTTATACAAATCTAAATACAAAATGTGGTAAACTTGAGATCCACTTTATAAGTAAAATGACTTCACAGAATATTATATTTTTTTTTTCGATTTCGTTTTTCGATTCAGATTCTAATGCTTGGTTGGACTGTTGCCGCTTTAACATCATCATCAGCAACAACCGCAATCGAAATTCATAACAACTTATTACCAGAGAGCAATTACATACATGTTAGACGAACTAGCGAGAGAGAGAATCCCTCCATTCACAACAAAAAAGATGCACACAATGTAGGTTTTCCACGTTGTCCACGCTCAAGTATATGCTAGCTAAAACTGGTCTTTGAGATCACGTGCAACGTGGCCAGACGGTCAAAAATCGTATCCCTATAGAGCGGTTTTCTTGGAAAACATAACGACAGGTGTAATAACAGATCACTGCTTAATGGTGATTTATGGCAAATTAATGGAGGAGTCCACTGAACACTACGTTTCTATCTCTGTCATTGTCCAGCCTTAAGAACTACGTGACATAAGCACTACAAGAAACTCTTCTTCTATTGTCTGGCTGAGCTAGCTGCAGCGAAAATTGACAAACTCGTAGTTTTTATAAGGCACACGAAGATTGGTTCTAATATTTTGTGAAAGTAAAAATAGCAGCCTTACAACGGCATCACGCTGGGGCTACTTAAAGCGTAAACTCAGCTTAAGTCAGCCAGGGATTTTTATGCTCTCTTTATTTCTAAGTAAATTTTTTAAAACCGAACGATCACAATAGATGAGTGTGTAGCAATACCCACTAATATGTGGAAAGTCATGGTTCGACTCCTATTTCAACTGACACACAGAATTATAGAAAATTAAGTTTTATATTTGCGGTCGCCCCTCGGCAGCTAGTGTCAAGCTCTTTCAGTATCTTTCTGATAAAAAATTAAAAGCTCTTCATAAAAATCCATCCGCCGATTCGGAGGCTAGGAATACACTTTAAGTCCCTCCATTTATTGGTAAAACGTTACAAGATCCCAACATAAATTATAGGTGGAGCTTGGCTGAAATTCGCTTCATCTATATATATATTATACAGCAGTAAGGAGAGAAAGAAATTTGGCCTTAACAAATACAGATTTAAAACAGGTTACAGTCCATGGGCTTAAAGTTCCTGACCTACGAAGAAACGTTGTTTGTTCGTGGAATGTGGGATAGGAGGTGAAAGATAAATCTAAATTATTTTTCCTTTTCAATATATTCTACTCTTAAAAAGGAAACATTTTTCATATCTTTCATTTAACTTATGTATGCCCTCATAGAAAAGGGTTTCCTTTTTATCTGCAAAATACGCTAAACTGCCTCCTGGAGTTTATCATCGCTGATACATTTTTTACACACTCTTTAATGCATTTTTCCATTCCTGGAAACAGGTAATAATCACTTGGGACTCAAATTAGCCAAGCCCATCAAGCCAAGTTGATCGTGCAAGGAGATGTAAGACCACACTTTTATACTACAATCATTAAAAACAGTGGCACAAATCGAAAAAGTAAAGGGACAAGAATCTATTTGAGCGCTAGAAAGTGCTTTTATTTTCGAACTCAAATTACGGGTTTCAAATATTAGGCCTAGTCAAAAATAATTTTGAATATAATTTTTTATTCAATTTTTTTTTATATTATTTATTCAATTTTTTTTTCTAATTTTTTATTCAATTTTATTCAAATTTTTTTTTTTAATTTTTTATTTAATTTTTTTTTATTTAATTTTTTTATATTTAATTTTTTTTTATTAAAATTTATTTTTAAATTATTTATTAATTTTTTTTTAATTTTTTATTAAAATATTTTTCTTCGTAATTTCCATAAGCGTTTTTTTATATTAAAATCGAACATAAAGGGGTGAAATATGTGTTAATCAGATTTTTTTAAATTTACATAATTTATTTAAATTTTAGTTAATTAGTGTTAGTTTTTACTCCAGTTATGTGTGTGTGTGTGTGTATCAAAAAGAATTTTTGTGAACTAATTAAATACAAAATTTAAATAATTAGTTGAATAATAACAGATATGAGTGTCTATGTGTTAGTAAAGCGTATAAGTACATACATACAGTTGAGTATATTTTAATTAAGCAAAATAATACAAAAAATTAACCAAATTTCAACTAAGATTACGAAACTACAAAGTTAATGAAGGAAAATAATATTAAATGAGTGCGAAAGAATGATGCGTTTGTATTTATATATATATGTTTTTTTTTTTTAATTTAGTTTAGTTTTTCTTTATTAGTTTAAATGAATTTGGCTTCACGAGTTAAGGTTGCGGGCGGAAGGAGGAGAAGGAGATAATTTACAATATTTAATAACTACACAAAATCACTGCTGCATTTTGGAATTTTTGACGAATGAGGTGAGTGTATTTTTTGGTGTTTTTGAATTAATTATTTATTACATATATTACACACATACATATAACTGCATGTAAAGCTCAAGTGAACGCTTTTGCCACATTAAATATGTAATTTGTACAATTATTTTTATTATTATTATTAATAGGTAATTTGCCACATTTTTGCCCACAGCATATATTTATGTATGTATATACAAGAGTACAATTATTTTTTTACATTTTATAGTTAGTAATAAATAGAATAGTGTAGTATTTTTTTTAATGCACAATTTAGTAGTAGATATGTATTTGGATGTTTGTTGAAAGCTCGTTGTTAGGCGACACTCATATACATACATATGTACATGTATAAACAATTTGGAAACTAAACAGCACGCAGCTTTCATTTATCTGTTTGACCCTATATAAAGGGTTTTCCAATAAGAGATCGTATTTTGAATAGTCTGTTATTTCGATGTCACTTTTGCAGCTGTAAGTACTTGGCATTTGGCAAGTAAATATAGAGCCAGTAATAAAAATGGAACGATGCACGCTCCAGCAACGCATTGAAATTATTATAATTCACTAAGAAACCAGTGAAAACCTGGCAGAGATCATTTGTAAAATTAAAATATTTTTAGGTCGCCGAAAAGCACATTGTCGGACCGCAATACAGAAATTGGTGAAAAAGTGTAGTTGCTGGCGCACGTGCACGTCGTACAAGAACAATTGAGTAAATTGCTGTTGTAGCCCAAAGTGTTGAAGAAACTCCTGGTTTGTTCATTCCTCGTCTTTCTTTAGAATTTGGTATTCCATAAAAGTCATTACGTCGTATTTTGCATCAAAACTTGGGTCTTAAGGCTTATAAAGTTCAGTTAACACAAGACAACAACAACGTCGTTTGTTGATAATCTGTAAATTCAACGAAAAATTAACTTGACTAATGAGACCCATTTCGCACCTCGGTGGCTACGTCATTAAGCAAAGCTGTCGAATCAGGGGCTCGGAAAATCCAAGATTTATTGTTGAAAAGCTTCATCATCCTCAAGGTGTATCTGTTTGGCGCGGTTGATTGACCTTACTTTTTCGAAAATGAGCCTGAGGCAACAGTGCGATGAACAGATAGGACTGTCGATAGATGATTAAGGATGTATTTCTGGCCGGAATTGGTTAATATTGAACTGAACCACGTTTACTTTCAACCATTGATCTTTTGAAGGAACAGTTTCCGTGTTATCTCGGAGAGATGATCGCAATTTGGCACCGAGATTTTGTTATTTAATTAATTTATTGTAGCTTTTTGCTTTGGGTCCACGTGAAGGGTTAGCTGTAAGCCAATAAATCAACGTTGATTCAAGACCTAAAAGATGGAATTCGTAAACTGCTGAAGACATAGAGCAGCCACTTTGTCGATTTGGTGATGGAAAATTTCATAAGAAGAATACGGTTCTGTAAGCGTAGCCAATTGGTGGTTGTTATTTTCCATTATTAATTGCTTGAAATAAACACCGGATTATTTATCTCAAAAAATAACATTTTTCTGTGAATATCCGAATAATATCTCTTGTTGGAACACCCAGTATATATGCATATGCAATTAAAATTGTTTCCATTTGTTTAACTATTTTATTTTTACTAATGTTATATTTTTAGTGATATCACATATATGTATATATATGTTTTTTGTTATTATTATTTTTGTTATTTAATGCATTTTTTGCTATAAATTGCTGTGTGTGTATGTGAGTATGTATGAATGTTTCGCCCTTAACAGTTAACTTTACGTATTACTATTTTACAGCAATTTTTTTTTATTAATTGGGTTAATCATGTGTGTGTATTTATGTACATATGTTTGTATGCAGTTGGGCGATTATGTAGGTAGGTAAGTATCCCGGCGTTTTTTTAATAGAGTACATTTTTTTTTGCTAGCTCTGGTATAACCTATGAATAATATTTAATAATAATTATAATAATAATAACAATTAAAAAAAAAAAATAAAAATTAATTAAATTATAGCGTACAGACAGACAGCATTTTTCATATGAATGCATCGTATTTAATAATGCTAAGCTAAATAAATACCAAGCACTCACACGTATAAAATACCACATTTTTAATTTAAATATTTATTTTTTTTATTTTTTTTCATTTTCTCAAAACTTTTGTAAAAAAGTGTAGTTTGTAAAGATTTTTTTTGTTTTCCTAT